TGCAAGACGTCTCCTCGATGACCGTAGGATAATTGGAAATGGTTTATGTATTTGTTTCCGAATTAAAAGAAAATCATTATTCAAATAAACGGCATGCAACTCAATAGTTGTGGAGTCTCATTTTTTCCACATTGAAACTATGTTGTGGTAGGTTGATAGTACTCCGAAAACCTATTGGAGAGGTCCCACCCTTCATCATTTTAAGAGGGGTTAACAATTATGCCACATCTAATAAATATAATCCGAATATTCCCCAATTGGAATCCACAGTGATGCGACGACATTGTATCAACATTGAAACAATGCTCACCGTCAACCTTCAACATTCGCACACTCAATCCACATCTCATCCATGTTGATTCAATGTTCTGTTACCTGGGTAGAGGTCCGCGAACGCTATAAGGCAAACCGGGTTGCCTATGTGCAAGGAAACACACTAGTTATAGGTTTCATACTTCCAGATATGTAACCCGGTGTGCTGTAAGGCACGCGCAGAACTCCACAAACAGGCGGCAAAAATTTACCTATGTTGCGTTTAAATACGAACACCTTGAATATTCACCGCATCTTAACCAACCAACCTTGAAATTAATAATAGCTATCATTGGTTTGGCGTAGGCCTACTTGAAAGGCCTGGACAACTGGACATTCTCGATGGTCCACGCGTCCGCGTCGCGTGGAGATGGGAGGACAGTATGAAGTGTAGGATGCCAGATACGGCATTTCAGGCGTACGCCTAACAACCCTGTCCACGCGGCCGAGAGCAGCTGCTCTCCTCCATTGTCCCCTATGGATCCGTCAACCACCAGGGCTGGAAGGGAAGTGGATGTTTTCGTGGTGACGGGCACCCCCAAAGACCTTATACTAAGAAGACTGGACACTGCGCGAAAGCAGGGTAACCGCAATGGCGGTCTATGCCCTGGTGGTTGGCCCTCGAACTAACGTCAACGCTTCCTGGAGCAGAGCGCTAGTGTCTCTTGAACGAATTCGCGCCCGAAGTCTGACGCCATTCCTATTGCGCGTGACTGATTGACATGTCTGGCGGAAAACCATGAAGAGGAGTTGGGGAGAATCTCCCCGGGAATCTAGGATTCTTGAATTCAGACAGAATTGCAAGACGATGCATGCTTCGTAGGTTACCTATGTAACAGGGAATCAGTTTATTTTTTGTCAATTTACAAACTGCATTATTTTCATGAACTGGAGATCTCTGAATCCCAATGGCAATCTCATATTTTCCCGAGAAAATTTTGGCTTAGCTGCCAGCAACAATGTGTGCGAGTAGAAGCCAGCTGTAACCCAAATGGATCTCAAGAACATCTAATCTAATATGATATCTAACGTTAATACTTTAAATGGAAGAGACCGAACGTTGTGGCGGCCGTCGCTCCCAACGCGCGAGGCCTACGATGCTAAGCCATTCCAGGTCATCCAAGGCCTAAAGCGCCAGGCCTTCAAGGCTCTTCCATTCTGGGCCATAGGAGGCTAGGCTATAAAATTTGAAAGAGGCTGAAAGCGGTAGTGAATGGCTGTCACCCACCTTCGGCCTAACACGCAAGGCCTACAAGGCTATGCCATTCTAGGCCATAAAAATCTTGGTGTACTTTTAATCTATTACTCGGCCAGCGTGTCGGCCGCAGGCCGCTCTAGTACGGCTGTAAATCCAAAGCGAATCTGCAAGATAATTATCCACAGCCTGTTTTTGTCCCTTCAAAATTGAAGCCATCCCATTCTAACAGGCCTGTCAACCCGAAACGCGAAAATGACCTTTTCGCTAGGGTTATTGAGGCTACTCAGCATTTTACTTCATTCGCCTGTTACATATATGTAAAGCCATGACTATAGGCCTAGTGCAAAGCCCTAGGCGAACACATGCGCGTGCCTTTCCGGATCCATGGGAAACCGATGCAACGGAACATCTCCATCCATTTGGCCAAATTTCTCCTGGCATGGTATGTAGGCGCAGTACTTGCATCCAAAGGCAGCCATATTTCACGCGGCATTCCAATCCAATGATCCCATTGGTCAGTTCTGCGTAGTTCCGGGGCCAAACACCAGGGCAGGAGGTTTCCCCGACATCAAAGGCGCCGCCACAGAGTGCCCAGTCTTCTTAGTATAAGGTCTTTGGGCACCCCGACCAAGAAAGAAAGTTGCGCGTGCGCACTGGGTCGTGTTGTCCGGTCGCTATGGTCACCGCGGACAGACGGAATGAACAAAAAAAGAAAATTGGAAAAAAGTGACAGACCGACCGCAATATCTGGCATTGCCCCATAGCACCTATGGGAATGCCAGATAAAAAGTCATATCATCCGAGAGGAGCTCTAATATCTAAACAGTTTCAGCAGGCCTTGTCCACCGTTTCGTCATCCCGAAGGCAGAATGATCACTCTGTCTCATGGGGAAAGGGATGATTCGCGGATACGTCATGGAGTACGAAATGGGTGGATTATCCTTTGCATGTACCATGTTCAGTACAGTCAGGGGATGATCAACCCTTGTACTGTCCTTTGTCTCCTGCACAAAGGACAGACGTGCACATAGGCAAGTGGTTATACTTGTACAGACAGTACTAATACTACAGTTAGAAAAGTCCCCACCATAGGGAAAACCCCCCAGGGCTAACAGCAGCGCCAATTTTGGTCCAATATGGGGCCCGGTAGTACTCCCAATAACTCCTCACCTCAAGAACAAGTCATAAAATAAATCACGAGCAACGCTCGTTTTGCTACAGCGCATCTCTCTGCGCATCACGGGGAACTAGCAACAGCTGAATATGCAAGGTCACTCAAGGACGGGGTGGCTCGGTTGGGAGCGGAGTTGGGAACACCGCGAGCCCGGGTTCGAGACCAGCCGACACTAATCGGCTTTTTCCGTCGAATATAATGGGGAATTGGTTAGATTGCGAAGTTGAGTGTAGAGTTAGAGAGACGAATTAAGCAACGTCGATATGTCATGCTTCTAGGTGAGCGATGGAGAAGATAGTTTGCACTACCACCGATGTAACAGCCGAACAAATGGACCTAGTTCACAAGTAGCGCAAGAATATTCGAGGCAAATATCAAGTATAGAAACCAACGTGCAAAGTTATTGTTGGACCTACGTCCAGGCACGTCAAGACATGAACAAGATCCTGATAACATCTATGGCAACGTCGACTGTTGAAATCAAAATAAATTCTGAAAAGTGTAAGTGGTGCGTTTAATAATAAACATTTTTAATCATATCTAGTGAGGAAATACATAGTGTAGAGCAGCGGTTCCCAGACTTCTTTGAATCGCGACCCACTTGCTGACGTACAGAACATTTTGCGACCCACCGGAATCCAGATCGAGGTATTTTCAAAGTTCTTATGACGGGAAAAAAACTGATCGACCTTTTCTGCAGGGCATGCTTTATCCTAAGGTAATGCGGATACAATGATTTTTTATATTGAGAAAATGTACGCGACCCACAGTTTGGGAACCGCTGGTGTAGAGCATAGGCGCCGTCTTTTAAAAAGTATCGGGGGGAGCAAGTACTTAATGCCCCTGAAATAACATTGACAGAAGTACTCCAGGATCCATTGGGGTAGCTCAGTATTATTATGGTACCAGAGTGACAAGCGCGGGGGGGAGGGGTGACACAGGGATCTCCCCCAGTTGGAGCTCTTAACAGAAAGGAAAATCATATTTTTCATTTCTTTCGTGAAGCAGTATTTTGTTTTCGATTTCCATGTGCCATACTTTAGTTAGGCCATTCTTGGGGGGGGGTTGTTGCCCTCTCAATAATATAGTTGGGGGGGGCTCGTGCCAACTGGGTTCGGGGCCTATGGTCGGAATGCCCCGTCAATAACGCCATCGGATTGGTCTCCCTAACGTTGCGACGATGCCCCTCTTTACTCTTGTACTAGTTTACAAGAAATTTACGCGTCTGGGGAATCCCCCAACTAGCCTCGCAGCTAGGTCCTCCTTCATCCCATCCCCTGCCTTTCTGAACATTGAACGAGCCTCATTGTTCTCTGTGAATTTTGCCGCACCAGTAAGCACTCCATGTGACCGTTCGGGAACAGAAGAATCGATTGTACAACGAGGACGAGATGGAAAGAAACTGCCTTACAGGGTCAATATCAATTCTTTATTTCCTAGACCACGTGCAAAGGTGCTGCAAAAACATTCATGCAGCAAACAGGTGTGCGTGCCCATCACAAGCGATCATATGTCATACATGATCATGAGTAAAAGAAATATCAATCACATGTCACATTTGGTCCCATGCTCATCCTGGTTTTGGAATCGTATTCCAAGTATATCTTGCAACCCGTCAAGTAAGGGGAAGGCATTTGAGGCGACAACATGCAACAAATCCATTTACCTTAGATTCATTCAACTTTATGGTGAACTTCTTCAAAACCCATTCAACTGGGTTCATGTCACTTGTGGAGAGATACATTGTACCAATAGAAGTCCATACATTCATATCTGAATTTATTTGGTGCATGTAGCCACAAAAAGACTCTTCCAACCCAGGGCTTCTCATTCATAAGTAGATCTTGGGTAGACATGTTTAAAAAAAAAATCAAAATGTCACCAGGACTCATATCATAAGGCATTTTGGTTAATGAATCTGAGCAACTGATGGGTATCAAAATATTCAGTGCAAATAACCATTGGATAGGCTTGGTGCAACCAGAGATTCAATACACCAGTTCATCTTTCAAACACCCAGCTTTCTTGCAATCCAGCAGATTTTTGGAACATCAAGGTCTCAAGTGGGTCATATGCAATTCTGTATGACTCAGCCCTTAAGGCACAAGCACATCTCAAGTTCCAAACTGATATAAGAAAGAGATTCCTACAACTACCCTGAATCATAATGTCAAATTATAATATTCAGCTGCCAAAACACAAAGAAAAATCTAAAAACTAACACCCCCCAACTCAATCGAGGATGAAAAATTAAAACAAGTTACGAAAATGAAAAAGCTCCACAAGACTGAAACTGACAACTGTCATTTTCAAGACTTGGCACTCATTGTTGCTTGCAAGATGAATCCTTCTTTTCCTTTGTCTTTTTTGACTTGTGCTTGTCTGACTCTCCACTCCTACGTCGATGTCGGCCCTGGATTGGAGCCATGAGGGGACCAGGTGCTCTGCCACCACTTCCATTGTGGCTCTCACTTCCACTTTCACTTCTGCTCCTGGATACTTGCTCTCTTCCTCGATGGATGGTTGGGTCGATGACCAGAGCCACATTATGCTCCCTCTCTTTTCCCAATCTTTCACCATCTCTGTGGAACAAGAAATGATGAGCCTGGAGATCAGCATGCCATTTAGTGGGATTAAGGGTAGGGAGAATGATTATGGCCCACCTGGACGACGGGAGAGGATGATCCAAGACAGGAATTCCCAGGTCTGAACACTCACCAACCTGACTTCCCTCAATCTCCTCCTCTTCTGTCCCTCCTCTTCTCTCCTAGGGTACATCATAATCAAAGCAATTCAGCTTACTGGCCTCATAATGCATCCTGTTGCCAAGGATCAGATTTGAGCATGCAGTTACACATAGTCTAAACTATATGAATTAGTAATCATTATACAATATGTGATAAAACTTAGCATGCATCACAAACTCCTCACAGAAATATACAACTTATATCCCAAGAGAACAAGTCATATACCTATTAGGCCAGTGGTTCTCAAACTTTTCATGTATGCACCCACTGGCAACCACATATTGGCTTCATGTACCCACCCACCTACTTAGTACAATATCAACACCCTGTGACCCCCTTTGGACCCCTGCCTCTTACTTCACACAATCTAGGTGCATTCCACTTTTTTTTTTAAATTCAAGTTGGTCCTCCTTGTGCCAGCAGAATCTAGCATTTATTTCTGAGATGAATCCCCAATTAGTCCTGGGCTTCCTGGACCCTCCTCCCAGTATGCAAACTGCTGCGTAAGACCTTGGGCTATGTTCCACTACAAACTACTGCAACTTGTGACAAGGAATCAGTAAAGTAAAAGGAATGGACAAGAGACCTGGAGATGAGATTCAAGAGAGGCAGCCACTTGCTCCAATGTCTTCATATTTTTCCTCCCCTCTTCTTCCTTCATCTTCATCTCTCTCAACTTCTTCTGCTTGGTTCGCTCCTTGGCTCTCTTCAGCTTTGCCCTTTCTTCTCGGTAGAGTAGCTTTGCCAATTCCCGATCCTGCTGCTCCATGGCCAGACGCCTATCTCCTGTAGCCTCCACCTCTTCTTCCTCTTGCAATCGTCTTGCCAATGCCTGGAATCAACAAATATCCTTCAGGTCTGTCCAAGTGATACGAGGCAGGAAGGATCCCAGAGACTAGGATCTGACTTCATCTTGGAGTTCTTGGATGCGACGTGCTCTTTCTTCCTCATCTTCGTACTCTCCTTCTTCAATGTCCTCTTCATCCTCAGGCACACTCACTATTCCATCAAATGGATCCAAGTCCTCCTCTTCATAGTATCTCCTTTCTGGTCTGTCAATCACACCATACAAAATAAAATATCCATTTGTCACACAAGTTCTATCTGCACCATACATGTTCAATTTATCTTAAACACAGAAATGGTCCAATGAAGGTGTATATTCATATTTAGACAGAAGGTCTGAATGTTAATATACACCTAGACATCAAAGAGCTTCTAGTCTAGAAGTTGGATAATCTTGCTGCCATAATGCTTTGAAAGAATAGATGCAACAATTCAGCATGAATTACCATCAGGGATGTCTTATGCACTAAGAGAATATAATAAAACACTCCTTGGAAAAGTGCTAAGTAGCATGCCAACTGAGTGGGCAATGGGTAGTGTATGATAGTACACCACCAGCATAACTCATGATTGCACAGTTAAGAGACAAATTTGAAGTAGAAGGCACCATGCAGGGCAATACAAGAGACACTCTGGAAGGCAATGCGCTACAAAAAGTGAAGAAAATGTTCCAACTGTTTGAGCTGCTTATGAAAGATCACCATGTAAGTCCACACAGTAGGACATTCGTGAGACTGGAATTTCTAAAACATGTGTCTATTGCATTTTGAAAAGTGGTTGTTTGGCACAGTGCCTTCTGCTTCAAATTTGTTTCTTAACTATGCAATTGAGTCACAAAGATGGTTTATTATCGTACTTACGTCTTCATTCATGCTGCAAATGTGCAAGGTTTACAGATTTCCATTACTATTTCAGTAACCTCTTATGCTGCTCAAAAGAGAAACAAGTCTGTGCCATTTCATGCAATATTACAGCAATGCCATCTAGTGGTTTTGATTTAGTCCTGACAGGTAACAGTCTGGTGGGGTTCTGAACAAATAACCAACATTAATGGAGAGCATGTCTCTGTGTATGAAACTGATAACATGTGTATGCATTTCATTGAAACACTCTGAATTGGTAAAAGTTCCAAACCACCATGCAATAACTCCCAGTGCAAGGTGATACAAGTGTACCCATGTGCTTCAAAGAGTTAAAAGGAAATGAGTTATAAATGAAAAATTTATTTATTCAATAAAGTCTTAGATTGAGATGCAAATATATCAAGAATAAGGAAAAAGTTGTGACGTTCTTAGGCCAAAACCCTAATAAAAATATGAGACTGGGACACCTTAACCAGAAGTTCAGGAAAGTGTATCAAGTATGATGTTATGTGATCCATACCAGATGAGGAAACACAAAAAACATACCTATTGACATATATCTTCCTCCTCCTCTCCAGTTCTTCCTCCTCCTCCTCTTCTGCATCTGAATGCTGCAATGAATATGTATCAGGTTTATGAGAAGGTAACAAGGAAGTGATTGAAATCACAGTTGTCCCCAAAAAGCAATCTGAACCTGAAGGGCTTTGGCAAGCTGAGCATCCCGAGAAAGAGCACCCAGCATGACCTCCCTGTCTTCACACAGTAGTTGTCGTTGTAGTTCAGCTGCCAGACGAGCATCTTCCTCCTCCCTACATGATATGGGCATCGTTAACACTGGATTCACGTTAACTCACTATAGTGAGTCCCTGACTCATATTTGCAAAACATCCAAGTCCATGGGACTCATTGACAACCACTGAACATGTTCTGACGGAGCTGAAGCTAGGCACCAGGACTCAAGATTTTAAAAAGCTAGTGTGAACCTTGATCAACCTATATAATAATTGCAGGGCTTGGAACTACTTTGCTATCAAACTATGGTTCTTAAACAAATGACAGATGAAGTTTGATGAAGTCCAAAGGTAAACACTCACAGCCAAAGGAAGGACCATTGGACAAGAAAAAAGCCATCTTGACTCTGATGGATCATTTCAATATACATGAATGGACAGATTTTCAGGGTAATGCATGGCAAATGAATTTTGATAGCACTATGACTCAGGACTAAGTGTACAAGGCCATTCACATGGTTCCAAAGCTTCTGATTAAAGTCTATGCAGTAAATGGGAAGAGGGATGAAAATTGATAACATCCAAAGGACAGGGTGAGGGGGAGGCCCTTTGGTGACAAATGAGAAATTTTTAGGACACAACTAAAACTGCTGCAATTCAATGAAGGAAAAATAATTTCCAAACTGTAGTTTTAACAACTGGGGATATCTACCCAAATAACCTAAACCCTTCCAGGTAAATAAGTTGTAATTACTTTCTCTGTGGCAAAGTGGCAATTAACTCTGTCATTCAAAGAGATGTGACCTGATTCAATTACAGTCTTGGTGTGCAACATTTATAAAAGCTAAAGGAGTAAGGTCTACTAATTCTTCATAGTATTTTCTACAGCTTTATGTTTCCTATACTCGCAGTGCTTCCCTTTCTTTCAATTTTTCACACCACTCTACTCTCACATAATGTACACAACATATATCACCAAAGAGTATTGAAAGAGTTGAACCACATGCTAGACAAGTTAGCTGCATGCATGAGAATTTTCCATAAATTCCTCTCATAGTTGTTCTCATACAGTGCAATGTAATGGGAAAATCATTATATCTTCCTTGAAAAATTATTATCTTTACTAAAGTAAAACAATACTCACTGAGCTTGTAGCATTCGTGCATAAAGACATTGAATCCTCTCAGCTTCCTCCTCCTCTTTTTTTTGTTCTTCTCGGGCTTTTGGAGCATCTGTACGCAGGACAGCATTTCGCTCTTTGTTCCCCTGATAATGCTGAGAAACTGTGTATCCACAAAAAAAAGTGAATTGAAACTCTTTATTATTACCATTGATTACAATTTCCTTTCTGGCCTGGCTATGGCAGACATTCAGGCCACACATAAACACACACACATATGCATATATATACAAGGTGTTTGTATTTAAGCACAACATAGGACATTTTTTGGCACCTGTATCAGGAGTTCAGGAAGTGCCTTATAGTTCACTGGGTTGCATATCTGGAAGGATGAAGCCTATCCCTGGTGTGTGTTTCCTTGCAGATATGCAACCTGGTGGGCCTTTTAGCTTTCACTAAATTCCACCTACAGGTTGCAAAATATGCCCTATGTTGTGTTTAAATACAAACACCCTGTATACATATGTATACAGAGTGCCCAGAAAAAAAGTACACCATTATATATTTATAAGTTTCTTGACAACCAGAAGACCAAACTGCCTAGAAATTTGAATAAAAAGAGTTGAAATAGTCAAGAAGCATGTCTTAAAATATTAGGCAGATCAGTTTGAGCTGAACAATGATTCATTTAATTTAATAACATGATCTCGAAAATCGACCAAACAGTTTATTTTATTACCTCAGTTCGAACAAAACAACAACAATCATTGCAAATCAGGAACCATCAGCACATTAGTTTATCTTTGGAGATGGCAAGCAAAGTTGTTGACAACTTTCCAAAGAGACTCAAGCAGTGCATTGAAGCAGGAGGTGGCCATTTTGAAAACAAGTGATTCAATTGTGATCCCAATATTGTAAAATTTGTATTTGTTCTCACTGGTTTTAAAAATTTGGTCATTTTCAAAAAAATTATTTCCTTTCTTATTTTGCCTGGGTATATTGGCCACACCCTGTATTTTCTAATATTTTGTTGATTAAGAGTATTTTTTATGTTTTAGAGAAAAATACTTTTCAATGTATTGAGATGCTGAGTACTGTAAATTTACAGGGCAAAAGTTGTACTTACATGCAAATTTGATGATGGCTGCAAAATGACACAAATTATGGACGAAATGATACCAATCCACCTGATATTTTAATGAGCATTTCCTAATTGAACTCTTTTTACTAAAATTTTTAGGCAGCTTTGTCTCCTGGTTGTTGAGAAACTTATAAATCTGTAATGGTGTACTTTTTTCTGGGCACCTGTATATAGCCAATTTGATTTTATTAATCAACCAATTATCAGTTTTAATTGTTATTTGAAGACTTATGCTTACTAAGCACTAAACTCTCCCCTCAAATTAACTCTACCTATGCCAGAAGATGCATAATCATTCATTGTCAAAAAACCTGAAGTTATGTCAATTTGGCTGAAATGAATGCAGCAATGTCATCTGACAGATGTGCAACAAATGATGTATCATTGACATTCCTTTAAACCACTCAGGATTAAGTTTTCTACACATGGCCATGCCTCCTGACAGGGGTTTATTCAGGGGTGTGAGCACATGTGAGTGCTCAGAACTTGTGCAAATAGTTTTGCTTGCAACATGGAGTACCTGCAAGAATGTAAAAAGGACCACACACACCCTACCATACTGGCATGGTCACAGTACCAAAAGGAATAAGGTTGTCTTGATCGCAAAAAATTAATGCATCAACATGAGCAGTGAATTGATACAAGGGAAAACTTATAACCATTGACAAATCGTAATTACAGAAAAGGAACAGAAATCGCCATGAAAGAGGAAATTTGGCCTCATGCAGTCCTGTATGACTGGCTGCTTATCTCCCACCATTGCAATCTCATGAAGTGGCCAGCAGCATGCAAGCAGACATAGTAATAAAAAATAAGTCAGTATCTGTATAGCAGGGTCCATTGCCCGTGCCTTCTCCATTCCTCTTAATGTTTCATTCTCTAATTTTCTGAGCTCTACAGGGTCCCATTAGCATACATGCCTTATGCACCTGAAAATTCAGATATTGGCAATTCACTTCTCAGTCTCAGCATTGACTTATCATGAAGGCCACTCAAATTTTAATCTATTAAGTCATACTTAAAATCTAAAGCAAGACCTTGCTTGAATCAGCAAAGCCACTTACTTTCCTCATTTTGGAGTTTGTAAGCAAGGGCTCCATCCTCCAATACCAGGAATTCTCTGCAAACTGCAAGAAGGGTAAAGTATTAATATAATGGAAGTCCTTCTCATCCTATGCCTTAAATATATTCATGGACCTAGAAGTCATATAAGGCCTGTTAAGACTAATATCCCACACCAAAAAAAAACTCAGAACTTCTCAGAGCGTATTGAATGGATGTAAACCCTGTTTTGATGCTCAAAATTCAAGAGCACACTCATAGCACACAAGTGCACACGAAGTGAAAAGAGTCAGAGGGTCTTGCCACCCTTGAAGAGCCATGACAAATGCTGGGCAATTTTGGTGCAGTTTCGGCCCAGAGACAAAGAACTGGAGGAAGCAATGGGAAGTAGAAGTAGATCCAGGTTTCATCACCTGTGAGGATGTTTCCCACAGCTTCAGAGGCTCTTCCGTTGAATTTCTGAAGCATGAACTCACAGAAGTCCACACGAGCTTTCATGTGATCCGGTTTCAGCTGGTGTGGAACCCAATGAGCACAGACCTTCCTCATCCCAAGGTGTTCGTGCAGGATCTTGATGACCGAGCCATGCGACACCCCAATGAGCTTCTCTAGTTCCCTGGTGGTGATCCGCCAGTCTTTGTCTAGGAGTCGCTTCATGCTGGCAATGTTCTCTGGAGTGACAGTGAAATTTGGACCACCTTAACAGGGATTGTTCTCGAGGCTGAAGGAGCCAGATCGAAAGCGGGCAAAGCACTCGTAGACAGTGCTCTGGGATGGAGCTTGGTCCACAAGTGCCTTTTGAAGGGTTTCGAAACACTGTGCCGTTGAATTTCCCAGCCGAAACTGCACCAAAATTGCCCCACGTTTGCCACAGCTCGTCAAGGGTGGCAAGACCCTCTGACTCGTTTCACTTCGTGTGCGCTTGCGAGTCTCCATTTTAACACAGGGATCTGAAATTAAAGGGAAGAACTACTAAGATACATAAGAATACACAGTGAAAAAATCATGGGGATCTGACAATAAGAAGTCACTTTTTCCAGGAACTCTTTGACCAGCCCTTGTACACAAGATGAAGTCTGCATTGTGGGGGAGTGTTCACACAGTGTGTATAGTGTTCACATAATGAAGGATACCCCTCTTTTGAAGCCCTTCCAATGTTGTCCACAAACAAAAGAAGTTGATTGTGACAATCATTCCCTCCCACTTCCTCATAGATATAGGCCTAGAGATTCAGAAACAGAGACTGCTGGACCTTCAGTTTCATATTGGAGTTAAACATTAGCAGTTTCTGTAATTCATATGGGATTGTGATACTGGAGGTTATTTTTGGACTTTCCATTATTCAATAGTGATTTCTTCAAAAAAAAAAAAATTCCATGGAGGAGGTTGATGGCTTATTTTCTCAACAAGGAACAGGGATGGTCTGCAGTAATCATCTAGATAAGGCAACAAAAATGTTATATTCCTTATACTCATTAAGAATTTGATACCTGGGAACCAGATGAGGTCATATTGATTCATGGTCTCTGTGTTGGACATATCAGATGAAACAACAGATAAAAGAAGCTAACCAATACATTCACAAGTCCAACCCTAAACAGGATTTAAATGTCTCCTTCGTTGAACTCTTCCTAGAGTCACTGTCTGCCTTCAGCATTTACATTATAACTTCATATTGGGTTGGCAACCCATCAATACCAACACTGACATTGCACTACCAAGTATACATTAAAGGAATGGTGATGCAACATAAAAGCCAATAACAACTTCAACAGTTAGCTTAATATTGAGCTACACCTATGCCCACTCTCACCTTTGTTGACTAGTCCAGCCCTGGGAAGAGAAGCCTCGAGAGCATTTCTTTGTGAGATTCCAGCTCCTCTTTGAGGGTATGAGTCGATGTTACAAAGACGACCAGTGTCTTTGCCTTTGCTGGCCATCACTTTCAGCATACACCAATGAGCTCTCCAGAGATTATTACGGTTAGGCCAGGGCGTAACTTCGGCCTATGTAGGCCCAAGCCTAGCCTAAGAATGAAAACTGAGAGTAGACGGAGATAGCTGATACAAGGCTACACTTATCTTATCTCCAAGGAAGATGCCACAGGTGCTACAGCCCCGAAGTAGGCCGAAGGTTTCAGCTGATGCGCTCTGCTCTTCGACCACGAGTCCCAAAATGCCATCTCTTTTCCAAACTATATGAAACTAGATAGTGTGCTGTAAATTCCGACAGCGATTGATCTGACAGCGTCCAAGTATGAAATATGCATTGTGAAATATGCACACGTGCTAGTCACCATGATGGAATGGCAAATTCGATTGACTCACTTCCGCCTACTACTGCTTCTGTTAAAGTTAATCGCTCCAAGGTGTTCTTCCGCAGGACACAAAATTCTAATCTTTTTCAGCTACAATTTGGTTTTCTGGTGTCCTTTCTTGCACAGATGAAAATTTTCAGTAAGAATGGATAACAGCGTAACTTAATGCATTGATGATATGCTTTTTAAGCAACCATTTGAGTTGAAAGGAAAAGAGATCATAGTGTTTTTCACTTGAGTTAGACAACGGTGCATGGTGCGGGTGAAATAGCGGATCGACGCAGAAAATAGGAGTTCCATTCTCAAGAGCAGATGTCGTGATGACAATGGCGACAACGATGATGATTAATTCCCTACTGAAGAGAGAGAAATCAATATGAACCCTCCCAAATACACAATACATTGACATGATCATTTAATGTCGTAGTGAAAAACTAAACTTTTGTTTCACCCAGTACTCTATTCCTTAATAATATTTCAATAAAACAGGTAACTTTTTGAGAATCGTTCCTGGGTTCTGAAGTATCATTTTCCACGCCGAACTCGCATAGGCTAGATGAGGCCTATCTAACGTGGACCTGGGATTGTCCATCGAAGTCCGATCCAGTGTTTCTACATCGTTGAGCCAAGGGGAAATTGAAAACATAGAGCCTTTTTATATTTATTTAAATAGACTGCGAGGAAGGTCTCCTGTTGACAACGAGGCTATGCTCGCGGTTCATCGTTTCCAGTACATAGTTTGATTCATATGAAAAAGCCTAAATATTCGGAGAGAAAGATGTCGCTAGTCACCAGGGGCACCAGCGCCCTCGCCTCCTCTCTGAATACCCCACGCATTGGTGTCTTAGTCAAGTGAAAAATTGTCTAACTGAAGTGAAAATCACTGTAGTTGAAGGATAAGAATTTGAAGCCTCAGATTTTGAACGAATCCTAGTGTAACACCCTTTCAATTTCAGATGATAACTCTTTAATATTTGTGCGTTATTTCTTTAGTCTCTTCATGGGTTCTAGAATTAACGTGAATATGACGACAGGAAAAGTGATTTTTAAAGAAGGTTTATTTGAAATAGACCTAAATGAGCAGCCAAATACCCACAGTGACACTGCAACTACTAGTGTCTTCAAATGACTGAATCATTCCACTCTGCATACAATCATCATCATAACAATTTTCAAAGCCGCTTATTTTAAGTATGGGTTTGCGACTAAAGCAGGACCAATCTGCATCCTGGAAGACGGATTCGAGCTTACCAGGTGGAATACTGAGACTCTCGCAAAGCTTTGCAAATTTGGCCCGTCCACCATGCGCGAAGCCTACCGAATGGTCTGAAAGTCATTTTGGACAGGAAAGCTTTTCTCTGGGAGTCTTTCGGAGGCACCTCGCAGACGTGTTGGAACATTGTTGGAACGTTGGAACAGCGTAGCGTGAATGGAAAAGGTGGAGGGAGGGGAGGGGGTACATGTGCCTCTCCCGACGCTATTCCACTGAGTCGGAACCATCAGGCTTGAGATCTCTCGATCCGAAGAAGTACCAGGTAGATGCTCGATCTGGCGGTTCTCACGGATGGTGGCATTCTGCATCCGCTCAATAGGCGTTTCCTCAGGCAACACACCCGTTGGGCCAACTTAGGGGCTTTGTTGGATTCCCTCATGAACCTCCTTTTAGACCTGTCCCTCGGTCCCATATCAAGCCAGCAGCAATCCCCTTGTTGGGCCAACATTAAACGCTGACTTGCGCACGACTTACGGACGTTTATGAGAAGCTTGGAGGAAGCATCTATCATTTGAATGTTCTGCTACCCTACCGAGGATCTTGCCGCTGAGTCTTTCTCTGGGTCTGGCTGGAAGTCAGTGGCGGCTTGTGAGTAAAAACAAAACTGGGTAGGCAGCAGTGGCGCATACGGAAGGGGGGGAGGCGGCGGTTGCCCCCCTCTGATTGTAGTAGGCACACTTTCGCCCCTCTCTCTCCCTCGCTCACTGCCCCCCCCTCTCCCCCTCTTGACTACAGGTTTGACAAAAGATTAGGGGTGCTTTTTTGAACAGAGAACTATCCGATAATGCTGTTTTATTTCCAGGAAATATTATGTATTTTCTCATGGAATAAAGCTGCATTATCGAATAGTGTTCTGTTCAAAAATCAACCCTAGGATTCTTGCATTCAATGATTGTAAATTTATTTCTTTCAGAATTCAATCAGAACTAGCCATCGAGGAAATTGCTTGCATCTAACAGGAAAAGTTGCGAAGATTTAAGCCTTCGATGAATGAAATGATACCATTGGGAGACACCACAGGGATGCAAATCACTGTCAGTCTTAACAATACAAATCACTGGGAAACTGTGCTTCTTCCAGGAGAGAGCATCAACCATAGTGGGGTAAGCTAGGGGAGCTGGGACACTGGGACTGATAGAAGCCTGTCCGGAATGATTCTTTATTCAATCTGTATAACAATACTGTAGAGCAGTGATGCACAACCTTTTCCCCATAAAGGGCCAAATTGGAATTTCAGCTCATGTTCGAGGGCCGCAGATACCATCAAAGATCGTGTCTGCCATACCCAAATATTTATCAATCAATGATTTTATTCATTATTATTAATGAGACTTTTGACCCATTTAAGTTCGCTCATGCGCTCAGCTCCTGCTTTCGTCTTCTTGTAATTTCGGGGGGAAATTTTTGAAATTGTATTTTGAAAAATAAATATTTGTAAACAATTTGGGCTTGGGAGAAGCATGAACCAATGTTAGTCGATTGTCGGCGAAGAAAGGATGTGCAAGGTTGGTTGCATGTGACCTGTCAATATTGGTAAGATGGTAGGAAGTATTGCCATGTACGTAAGACCAGCCAAGGTTGAGTCAAAGTCTTTAAAGTAGCGGAATTTGGCTTCGCAATGTGGAGTAGAGGTGGTCTGTCCGTATTAAGCTAACTTTGTTCATCAGAAGCGGGGCTATCAATGCTAGGACTATTAACACATGGGCGACGGGCCCCGAGAAATCTCGTAGTACGCACGACGTCGACGTCGTGCGTAAAACCGAGATTCTCGGGGCCGGTCACCAACCGCTCGCGAGCGTACTACGAGATTTCTCGGGGCCCGTCACCCATGTGTTAACGGAAGGGAAAGCGATTTATTGCTGGATTTCGCACGCATGGAGAAGAACTACACGATCCTGGGATCGCTTAAGTTATACTGTATGCAGAAACCGTAGCGCATCTAAAAACCAGCACCATCTCCCGATCTTGGGTGCACACATGCACCCTACAGTGCTTATCGAATGAATTCACCCCCCTCTTACTATGGGCTCCTATGACTCGCCATGCTTTTCTATGACGCATCTGAGGATGCTGTAACTGTTAATAACAACTAATCAAGGTAGATGTCGCCCACGTCGCTATGTCCTGTATTCTAAGCGGTTGGGGAAAGTGTATTCATCCATTCTGAGTTTTCCATTTAAGTCTCGCTTAGTCTTCCAACGAAATAAATCGTATTAATTTATGAAAGACTCTTTTAGGGTGATAATGACATGCCCCTAACTTCTTTCTCTCATTCAATTTGATCACATTAATGATACCCATTGAATAACGAAGGATTTCATAATCATTATTTAGAATCAGAGGAGGGAAAATACAACTGTGCTCTGAAGGTGCTCTGACATTCCTCAAGGTTTACTTCACTCGAACTTTTTAAAGGAATGTTGGTTCCTGCTCGTTCTGATCAGCTGTATTATGTCAAGTTTGCGAAGCTCCTTCAAGGTATCATTCTGGTCTATGGTAGTTGGGTACCTTGCTGGGATCGCAAATGTGATTAGTTTAGCTGTTTATGGGATGAAAAACAGATGTCACTCTCTTCTCACAGCCAGCAGCGCCACCGCCNTCAAGTTTGTGAAGCTCCTTCAAGGTATCATTTTGGTCTATGGTAGGTGGGTACCTTGCTGGGATCGCAAATGTGGATAGTTTAGCTGTTTATGGGATGAAAAACAGATGTCACTCTATTCTCACAGCCAGCAGCGCCACCACCCACTGCAGGGGGGGGGGGGTGAATTCATTCGATAAGCACTGTACATCGCATGCCCACTTTCCACCAAGGTTGGACCAATGTTACCAGCCCACTTTCACATTCAGCCAATCTGATCAATATTCAGGCACTGTATGCCCGAAGTCTCATGGTATCAGGGTCACCAGACTAATTTTCCCACTCATGGCTCCTAGTGGATACATCTGATTCCGTCATTTAGGAGCTCTTTAACCTTTATTTTATTAACCCTTTATTCCTTTCACATCCGGAATATATTCTCTTCGGCAGCCAAAGCCCTTCTCATTTTGGATTTGGAGATGGAGTGTATGTTGCCTGCCTTACCGGAGCCTTCTAATGGTTCGTCTTGTTAACGGCACCGTAGTCATGCTCCATATCCTCAAGAAAATCTTCGTGTCTCCGCGCCTTTCTATAACACGACCTCGAAGGGTCTGATCTACAGTGTATATTCATTCCTTATGCTGCCTTCTTGGTAGCTACAGCCGGTCGTACCTCTGCTGTCCACCAGGGAGTCCGCTTGGTGTTGCCGTGTGCCACCATTCCATTTTGTTTCTCGCTACATACTGCCACTGCGACAGCCGTAAAGCCAGATCGGAATAATGTGGATCCCATTCGGTCTATGCTAGGGTCACTCTGAAAGTTCGTAGCTACTCTCGAAGGTATAGGCTTTGAGTCTTGATGATCGTATCACCTACAGTGTTTTCACTTGAGTTAGGCAATTTTTCACTTGACTCAGGCACACGTGCATGGGACCCCATACAAAACGTTATCCCCTCATTCGTTCGATTTTCACCGCTTTTTCCCCTAATCTTTACCTGAAGGGTCTTCTGACGGGTTGAGAGACGGGGAAAAACCTTTTTTTTTTTTTACCTCAGTTTCACCGTCCCAATTTCACCTCAAGGGGAAAATTTTTGGTAAGGGACGTTCCTCATGCATGAGTGTCGAAGTCAAG